TACTTGTATGATTTTTTTTTTTAATTATTATTCAAAGCTTAACCAGTCATAAAGATGAGATTGTGTTTATACTGCTTTATTTGCAAAAAAATAATTCAGTGTATTAAAATGTGCACAGGCAGTGCAATAAATTAGGTGTACATTTGCTCCACATTGTATGTCAATGGATCTAAAAACAAAAGGGTATTAGTCGCATACTAACATCCCACAGACGTACAACTATCTAGAGTTGCATGTGGAAAAGATCCAAGTACTCACATTTACAACATTAACAAGGGTGAATACAGTTGCGCCAGGTTAGAAATTGCTACACTGCATATCAGGGAGGAGGAGTTGGCTGAAGATGCATAATGATCTAAAATGTTAAATACATATTAGAACAGTCACACTTTTTCTACAGAGTTTCTTGTTTATAGGTGGTGTTGAGTCTGACACACCTGCCTAGACTGGCTTCCGCATAGATCCACGTCATGGAGAATGCTGACCTCGAAGGAGCCATCATTGTTGAAGACTATTTGTTTGTTTGGTGGATTTGACTTTCTGTGGCAGACTGTAGGCAGGTCTACCCTGATTTGAGATGTGGCTCTTATGCTTGCAGAAGGACACTAGCCAAATGATGGGTATGCATAAGTCCAAGTCCAAACACGAGTTAAAGCTACTAGAGAAGATACCTGAAAATGCTGAAGCCACTGTGGTCCTTGTGGGTGAGTGTCGTTGCTCCAGGAAGAATGTGTCAGTAAGAACATTTTAGTGCAGCACAACACATCACCCTCAAACTGAAGGCCAATAGCTACATGTCAGTGCATTAGATTCTCTTGGTTTTGGCCTTTCATCATATAGTTTTTTTGTATCCACAGTTAATTAACACATGCTAGAGGTTAGATTATACAAAAGCTAAAAGAAATAATTGGATGTTTTATGAATGTGAATTGTGTTTGTTTGACTGTTGTTGCTCCCCAAAGGCAGTGTTGACTTCCTGGAACAACCTACTATGGCTTTTGTTCGACTGCAAGAAGCAGTGGAATTGGAATCCGTCTTGGAAGTTCCAGTGCCAGTCAGATTCCTCTTTGTTCTTCTGGGACCACCTAGCACCAACATGGACTACCATCAGATCGGCCGCTCCATCTCTACACTTATGTCCGACAAGGTAAGCAGAGTACAACTACATTCATATAATAGCGATGCTTAATTTCCCCATGGGGATGAATAATCTTTTCGCTACCCTATCTTGTTCTCCACAAGAGAGCGAGACAGACATGTATGCCAGTGAGAACAAGCTTAGGGGAGGGTGGGGGGGGGAGGTCACGGCATGGTTCAGCCATCGCCGGAGCAATTGTGGGTCAAAGGCCCAACTGGTGCTTTGGGATGCAAACTGGCAACTGTCCAATCACAAGTCCTTACCCACTGAACCACTGCTGACCCTAGCAGTTTACAATTACATCACAGCAGAAGCCACGTAGATCAAGAAGCATCTGTGATGGCAATCCATAAACGTTTATTGTATTCTTGGAATCTGAATGAGAAGCCCAGCAATGCCCCTGAAATTGCATGAACATACATTGATCTGATTACCTAGTTGCATCTAGTTCGAAGGACATAAGCCTTATGCTGTACTTGTGCTGAATAATAAACTTAGTTCCTAGTGCATCCTGTGTTTTCTTGTTGTAATTCCTGTATTTTTTTTTTTTTTCTGTATTTTTTACAAATAGGTTAGTATGCCTTGTATTCAAGGTAAAGTCGCTGCAAATCTTGTATATTAAAATTGTTTAAAGACACTGGGTGCCTACATCCATGCAGTCAAGTTTAAAAAATAAAAAATAAATAAATAAAAAATGGCATTTGATGATGACTTAGTCCCTTGATGGATTTAGTTGACAGTGAGAAGATTGGTGTAAAGAGATCTGTTACTCATGTGAAAGCACTCATTGTTCCACACCCTTCACTCAGCACTTCCATGAGGCGGCCTACCTTGCTGATGACCGGCAGGATCTGCTCACCGCCATCAACGCCTTCCTAGACTGCAGCATCGTGCTGCCGCCATCCGAGGTGGACGGGGAGGAGCTGCTACGCTCCGTGGCGCGCTTCCAAAGGGAGATGCTGAGGAAGCGTGAGGAACAGGAGGTCAAACTGCTGGCCAAGGAGCCCACGGCCATCGAGGACAAAGGTGTGGAGAAACGGGACATTCAAATTGATCCCTATTCATTTCAAATTCTGAAGGGTCTGCTGTGGCATTTCTGTAACTTGCCTTGTAGCAAATAACTGTATAGCTCTATAACTGTTTGCCTATTGTGGTGTATCCAAACAAATAGGAGGAGAAAAATCTGGGAATAGGACAGATTTTTATTCTCTGCCACCTGTTTCCAGAATGACTACCCTTTCTGCTGTGAAATTTGAGATACTGTCTACATAACTTCATTTAGACGGTAATGCCATTGGAGCATCATTTTAATTCTCATAAGATGCGCAATGCTGTTGAATCTACACTACTTAAAGTTTATGAAAAGCAAGTGAAGTGGCATCACCATAAAGTAAGTCTGAAGTGGGGGTGGACCTAGTGATTCATTAAAGATGTAAATATAGCACAGGTGCTTTTCAAGTTGCATTTTAACTCCTTGTAAATGATGAGTTTAAGATCAATCCAGGAAACCGTGCAGCTGGTTTCAAACACAAGGGGACTGCCAAGGGCATCAAGGATCTGAATTTTCTTCTTATTCAGTTTGCTCCTTTTTCCACTCAAAGTCCATCCTGTTTGCACCTTCCTGCTGACCTGTGTGACATACTTCCGCAGCTAATTGCGTTAAATAAGCTCATCTCCCCCACAGCTTTCGTTACTTCCTTGAAGCCCTGTGATGACCCTTTACGGAGAACCGGGAAGCCGTTTGGCGGCTTGATTCGGGATGCCAAGCAGCGCTACCCCAGATATATCAGCGACTTTAGGGACGCCCTAAATCCCCAGTGCATGGCCGCTGTCATCTTCATCTATTTCGCTGCCCTGTCTCCAGCCATTACATTTGGAGGACTGCTGAGTGAGTAAGAACATACAATCAAACCCACCTGGAACCTTTCTGGGACTTTCAGTCCACTCTAGTTCACTATATATCCATTTACATGCTTCAGGGTTGCAGGCATCCGGAGCCTATCCTGGAAGCTATGGGTGCAAGGCATGGAATAATCCAGCATGGGGTGCTGACCCATCACAGGACACATACACCATTCAGACCTATGGGGAATTTGGCAAAACCAGTTAACCTCAGCATGTTTTTTTGACTGTGGGAGGAAAATGTATTACATTACAGGAAACACCATAACAACACAGGGGAAACATGCAAACTCAACACACGGAGAGCCACGGTGGAGATTTGAACCATGGTCCCAGAGGTGGGAATAGGCCAGTATTAACCACTGCAGCACAGTGCCACCCATAGTTCACTGTATTTATAGAAACATAATTTTGAATGGGGGGGGTCAGCAAACAGCAGTGCAGCCTCCCTCTTCCAGGCCTGGGGGTTTGAATTCTGCCCTGCTCTGAGTGAGGGGAGTTTTGCGTCATCTCCCCGCGTTGCGTGGGTACCCACTGTGTAATCAGATTAATTTTTTTTCCCCCTCACAGTTCAAGAACATGTGGTGTGCCTAGAACATGTGGTGTGCCTAAATTACCCGTAGTGAGACTGTTGATGCGCGTCCTGCGATTGTCTAGGGGGTTCCCCTGCCTCGTGTCCTACACTTGTGCCTCTGCAATTTTGGAGAAGCCGCTGGAGAATGGATTTCTCCTATGTCTTTTAGAATAATGATGTGATATGGATTGTACATGGGCAACATTTTTCTTCAAGTGGGGGACATAAAAAGGGCCATAATTCAAACAGGGAACTAATGTTATTAGCCAAAGAGATGTTTTGGATCGGCGAATGATGGAGAGTGGGCAGTTCAAGGGCTGCTCATCTTTCATCTGGGGCCAGTGTCCCTTTGGTCCTGCCCCATTATATGTCTTGGCACTGTACTTTTCTGACTGGAGTTTCAGTGTGGCCCCTCCTCTTTTTCTAGGTGAGAAGACTGGTGGTCTTATCGGTGTGTCTGAGCTGATCGTAGCCACGTGCGTTCAGGGTGTGCTGTTTTGCTTGCTGGGTGCTCAGCCCCTCCTCATCGTAGGCTTCTCTGGTCCCATCTTAGTGTTTGAGGAGGCATTCTATTCGGTGAGTCAATTTGCCCATTAGCAGCCGACCACAGTGTTCCAGGTGCATAACCGGGGAGGTGTTCAAACACTATCTGCAGCATGTGAATTTGTGAGTCTGCCATGCAATCCTAGCTCAGCAGATATCTAGATGTTAAATTATCCCTGGGGGAAATTCTTCTGCATTCAGCAATGAAATCCATAAAGTGCATAGATACAAATGTATAGTGCGAAACAAAGACGAAGGACAGCACACAAATTGAAAACAAGTACACTGTACACCAACAGAATGTTGTGCAAAGAGTATTGTACAGGAATCTTCTATTTCTATTGATTTATGTTTTCTGTTTCTTTGCTGCTCCAGTTTTGTGAGGGGAATGGCATGGAGTACCTGACAGGGCGGGTTTGGATCGGATTCTGGCTCATCTTGATCGCGGTCCTGACTGTGGCTTTCGAGGGCAGCTTCCTGGTGCGCTTTGTGTCACGCTTCACGCAGGAGATCTTCTCCATCCTCATCTCCCTGATCTTCATCTATGAGACCTTCTCAAAGCTGGCCAATGTAAGAGGCATCCAAATCTTTCCGGTGCTGTGAAAATCTATGCTGTGAAATGTATACCTGACCCAAGTGCTTATGCCAGAGGAGTTGTATTCCATTGACTGAGTAAAACCACTGAAATGTTCTGTCAATTTTACATTTTAACAGCTGCTTGATGGGCTGTGTTGTCACCTCTCGATCTGGTCTTGAGTCAATAAGTGTTTTGCGTCGCAAACATTACTGCCTGTTAAGACGTAATAAGATGTCATTTAGCAGCACTGTAGCCAGCAGTACAGCATATAACATGCATAGACAAGAACAAATGTAGACAGAGCACAATATACAAGAAGTATGAGACTAAAAGCATGTACAATGCAAAATACAAAAGAGGTCCAAATAGCAAAATGAATTATAACCAGATCCATAGATTCTACTGCACATTTGTGTGGGGGAGGTATACCATTTAAATAGACAAGGTGGGGTATGGTGTGGGGCATGAGGGGGATACAGCTGAAGACGGGACAGTCTGGCAACAGCTGTGGGTAAGAAGCTGATCTTTAGCCTTGATCTGTGGGCACAGATGAACCTGTAGCATTCGCCTGATGATGAGAGTTCGAATAAGCAGTGACCAGGATGGGATGAGGTTTATCAGGCTAGCTGTCACACAACACGGAAACAGCGGACCGATGGGCTCCACGTGTGTCTGCTCAGATCTTCCAGGAGCACCCATTGCGGCGATGCTCTGTGGATAACGGCACAGAGCTGAATGCCACAGACCGGCACGTCTTTGTGGAGAACCCCGCCGCCGTGCATCTGCTGAATGACACCGGGAGCCGGGACCCAATCATAGTGACGGGAGAGCCCAACACTGCCCTGCTCTCCCTGGTCCTCATGTCCGGAACCTACTTCATTGCCTTCTACCTACGCAAGTTCAAGAACAGCGCCTTATTTCCTGGAAACGTGAGTAGGCTCAGGGCTCTCAGGGGTTGCAGGAGCGTTTGAAGTTGCTGGTTTAGAGGGCGCTTTATGAACTTACTAATTCTGGTTTTACTTCAGTGTAGCTGATGCTTATGCTGTGCCATGCGATAGTACTGTAAGTAAAGTGAACATTGACCAGGTGACATGTCCAAGGAGTATGCTCACTGTTCTTTTGGTCCTTAGATCCGCAGGATTATTGGCGATTTTGGCGTCCCCATTGCCATCCTCGTAATGGTGTTGGTAGATTACAGCATTAAAGACACCTACACCCAGGTGAGAGCCCCACATTGCCCACAAGTGGCCCACCGTAGTGAGCCCAGCTTGTCTCAAGGGCCATCTAGCTAAATATTCTTGCTTTTTGTACTGGAGGATTTGAGCACATGGTTTTATGAGGGCCTGGAGTATAAGCGACTGTCCTGCCTGTGATCCCACACAGAAACTGAGTGTACCCAGTGGCTTCTCTGTTACACGCCCCGATAAGCGTGGCTGGTTCATCAGCCCACTGGGCTCTGATAAGCCGTTTCCTATCTGGATGATGGCAGCCAGCATCCTCCCAGCCCTGCTTGTCTTCATCCTCATCTTCATGGAGACACAGATAACCTCGTGAGTTGCATGACGTCCCCAATGCATCAATGAAAGTTCCACGTCTGTTTTACCCCACAAAAACTTCATTGGACCTCACTGTGTACTTTCTTACCTTATAATGCCTGTTGAAATTTGACTGATGTTACTGATGCTGTAACATGAGATATACAGTGTAAAAATACAGTTGAGCTAAGTCTCCCACTGCCATTTTCCTCAGGCTGATAGTCAGTAAAAAGGAGCGCATGCTGGTGAAGGGCTCCGGTTTCCACCTGGACCTGCTGGTCATAGTGACACTTGGCGGCATGTCTGCACTCTTTGGGCTGCCCTGGATGGCAGCTGCCACAGTGCGCTCCGTCACGCACGTCAACGCCCTGACCATCATGAGCAAGGCTGTCGCCCCGGGAGACAAGCCCCGCATCCAGGAAGTCAAGGAGCAGAGGGTGACCGGGCTGCTGGTAGCCTTACTCGTAGGTGGGTCTTCCCAGTGACAATCTCCAATTATATGCATCAGTTAAGCTCAAGCACATAAAACTGATTGGTAACAGACAACATGCTTTCATCATATTTCCCAGATGGAGAATACATACAGTTTTGAGACCAGTCCACTAATGCAGACACATCTTGTTGGTGTGATAACCCAAAAAAATATATATTTTTTTTTTTTCCCCCAAACTTTGCGGACACAGCATATGATCAAATTTTGAGAGAAATTGCACCGAAATTGAAGCAAGTTGCTTGCTGCTTAGTCGCAGCAAAGGGTGACTGTAGAAGACCTGAGCATAATGGATACAGTATTATCCTTCAGCAGCATCTGGTTTTAGATGGATCATTTCTTTTAGTTTGAGTAAAGTGGCAACTTTAAGCATCCAACAGTGTAATGTCAAGATGAATACTGCAATTATGAGATGAAACGAGAACAGAAAATGGTGCATTTGATAATGTGTTCCCTGGTAATGTTACCTACTAGTGTTACAGAACAGATGAAATGAATATGGATGGTACATACAGTACCAGGCAAAACTTGGACACCCACCCATGGAAAGGTTTATTCTTACTATCTTCCATTTTAGAATAATTATAATGACATTGAAACTATAAAATAGGCCTAACTTATGAAATTATACACTGAGCAAAATTAGTATTTAAACACAAAAATGTATTTGTTGGGGGGGCAGCTCTGTAGGTTGGGACTCCGAAGGTTGCTGGTTCAAATCCCATGATTGGCAAAGTAATGCCTTGCTCAATGGCCCAGTGGTGGCCCTTAATCCCAGTTGCTCCAAGGATTGGCTGACCATGCTTTCTCCTCTAGGCCAGTTTCATGATATGACCTCCTGGGATGCTTCTCCAGCTGTCCTGAAGGAGGTCTCTCATATGTATGCTGAGCTCTCATTGGCCCCTTTTCCTTCACACTCTGGTCAAACTCCTCCCAAACCATTTCTTCTCTTTAGTTCAGGTGGTCAGGTCATGTGATGTGACACTGTCAGTCTCATTTGTAGCAGCTGGGCGTATCCAAATTTTTGATTGGTAATGTGTGCCAACAAAACAATAACCATACTGCATAAGCTGGTAAAGATCTATATGAAAGTGAATGAGAGAGATCTTCCCAGATCATTCCTCTTGCCATATTTTAGGCGAGGCAAACAGTATTGATCATATCCCTGTTGGCTCTGTATCTTTTAGGCCTGTCCATAGTGATCGGGGACCTCCTACGGCAGATTCCCATCGCGGTGCTCTTCGGGATCTTCCTCTACATGGGGGTGATGTCACTGAATGGCATCCAGCTTGCAGAGCGCTTTCAGCTGCTGCTCATGCCTCCCAAGTACCACCCCGACCACACCTACATCCGCAAGGTCAGCCAATAGGAAAAAGCGGTAGGAAAGGAGGGCAAAGACTGCTCTCGGAAGCAGCCAGTCACAGCCAGTGAGGTGATGAGCTCTGTGTGCTTGCAGGTGCGCACGCTGCGGATGCACCTCTACACTGGTATCCAGTTGGTGTGCCTCATTAGCCTGTGGGCTGTCATGTCCACTGCGGCTTCGCTGGCCTTCCCTTTCGTCCTGATCCTTACTGTCCCTGTCAAGATGTTTTTGCTGCCAAGGATCTTCAGCCCCCGAGAGATGCAATGTGTAAGTCACCCGCAACTGGTTGCAGCCAGTTTGAGTACACATTCACAATGACGTCAAGTTTTCTTTGTAATCTCTTCCAAGTACAGAGTACAAGGTGAGAGACAATTGTGTGTCTTTAGGACCACGGTGCAAACATACAATATGTAGTGCAACAAGACGGGTTAAATAGGGTTCAAATACAGCATATAGTGTAAAAAGACAGGACAGTGCAGTACACAGGACAGGAGATCGGTTAGACTGGACCAGTTGCAGCATTATCAGTAGCAGAATTAAGATATTTAAGATGTGCAATAGAGGCAGATAATAGATATACATCTGGAATATAGTGACAATTTGCCACTGGGGCGTTAAAGATATAAGGTGACTCAGATACAAGGTATAAGATGTATTGTAGAGAAATCCACTGTACCATTTATAGGGGGTGTTATGTTTAGCCTGCAACAGCTATAGAACTGACTAGGAAATCCTTTGTAAAGGGATGGGGCTGTAAGGAGGTAATGTTAATCCATTATCTCCATGGGTAGGCGAGTTCTACCCATAACTCTATACCTGAGTTTCCAAGACTAACAGCAGAACCTCGCTCCTGTGTCTGCCCATGCCACAGCTGGACGCAGACAACGCTGAGCCCACTTTCGATGAGAAGGAGGGCCAGGATGAATACACAGAGATGCACATGCCAGTGTGACACGGCATGCCACGCCCCCTTAATGTTGCCCTGGGAACACCTCTCTAGTCTGCCAGCCATTCACAGCTGGGGTGACAAGGAGCACAGCGTTTTTATCAAAATTTTTATTTTTTTTACCAAAAGGAGTCTCCTTAAGCTAGGAAAGATACCCTTTAACCAGGACCTACATAGACTTTGCAACATCTGCAGGTCTTTCTTATATTCAAACGAAATGCCAGTTTAATCCTTTCTGTTTGCATGCCTCACGTTTCTATGATCGACCATCCCAATTATTCTTTGCTTCCATGAAGTTACTCTGAGTATCTATTGAGCAAGAACTGTACTCCTTTCCTACTAATTCTTCCATGGCCAATATTGGTATTTTGAAGCAGCTGTTAATATAATTTTCAGTGTTATTTTATTTGGCTGGCGTCACTGCTGACTATTGAACATCATTTTGAATACGCTCACAATTTTCCTATTGCCTTTAGGTTAAAGTCTTGCATTGCACACTAAGCACTTTTTCTGAACTAATTGATATCGAATAATTAAACATATAGGACATGTTAATGAGCTGAGAGGAATGGGGCAGCAACCTTTTGAAACTTTTTGGTCTAATCATGCAGTGTAGAGTAGGATTAAAGGTTATTTATTGATATTTATAAGGAGGAAAAGTTGTCTCATACGCTCCAGCAGTACACCCCATTACATTCACTAACGTAAGGCTGCACGAACATATCAAGCAAACACAGGAGTGAATTGCTGTACTGTACCAAAGGTGCCATAACAGGACTTTGTAAATGGAGTAAGAGTTTGCAAGATGGTAGCTCGACTGTGAAACTGTGGTTTGCAAAGAGGGACATGCAACTCATTTTTCTCAAATATTAAGAAATATATATTCCAACTGTAAAGGAGGGCTGTATTTTGTTAGCGTCGGTATCATTTCTTTAACATACCTAAGATTGCTGCATAATGTCCATTTCAAGGAGGGCAGTGGTCAGTCAGCCGTTAGTGAACAGTTAAAAGATTGACCACTAGAGGGCGGAAAAGCTATATCAAAGGCTGTGGAACGTGCATTTTGGACACAGACGGGAAGATCTTATTTGTGTCATGTGGTACTTAATTTGTGTCGATTTTTTTTTCCTGTTAACGCGGAAAATTTACATTGTGACTTCATTAGTCCTAGATTATGCTTTATAAAGGGAACTGTCCTTGTTTTTTTACTTTGACCTGTCAAACCTCACTTTGAGTAACTCACTTCTGCACTAAGGTGATGCTGCTTTAAATGCACACATCTAAAAACATTTGTTTTGGAAAAACCATAACATGCCTGTTGTTTGACCAATTTATGTCACGGGTTTAATTATAACTGGTGGAAAGGCCTAGTACATATGACCACTAAGCCTATGCCTATTATATTAGTGGTTTTTCTGTCTTTAATATTAGACGCTAACAACACCTGTAGCTGCTTGCATTTCAGAGTTGTGTCCACTGAACATTTTCCAAAGAAAACCGATGCATATTGTTTCTGCCATTTTTCACCATTGTCATAGTGTTTGACAAAAAGACCAAATAGCACAGTGAGAACAAATAAGTGCAAAACAACATGTGTATGTCTGGTCTTGAGCTTGCAGGGAATTGCACCAGTGGTGTGTGAATCGACATGCAGGGTGAATTGTAGTTTTCATGGGGAATTTGGGTGGCATAAATGTGCTTAACATTGATTACAAAAAAAAAGGGACCAGTTCTCTTGTTACATATGGTTTCATTGGTTTATGGTATAGCAGGATAGGGACACAACTGTTTCCAAGAGACTATGAGATCTGATTTTTGTCAAATTGCTACAGACCACAGCAACTTAAAACCACATTGTATGTGTGTGTGCGCGCATGCATACACTGTTGTGCCAGGACAGTGTTCGTTCTTGGCTAAGTTTGTTGTAGCTGTATCCTTTTATGTGCCTTAATGTGCCAGACCAGCAAAATTAGTTTCTGTTTTGGCTTCCCTGCCGTTATGAAGGTGTAATGTAATTCTTCAGTTCAAAAATAATTTTGCACATTCCTAAACTTTGACCTATACAGTGATAGTTGAATCTGTTTTGTAAAAAGGTCTTAAAGGCCTGAGGTTGGTATAAAAATAAGATGGCAACATTTGTATACAAGTGGTTATTTTCTTAGGAAATTGATGCAACACATTTTGAACTGGTCATCCAACAAAAGCTTAAGTTCTAGTTGAAGTGACCCCTTTTAAGAGAAGCGTGACATTTTTGTATATGTGTAGATTTAAGATTCTCTTATATATTTATAAATAACCTTTTTGAAGCAGAATGTTCTTAGTTTGTGGCAGGGTGGTTGGTCAGACTGCTTTTCAGTACAGAAAGCACACCAAACAGGAAGGACTCCTTTTCATGTACTGTGGCTGCACAACCACTCAGTGATTAGCTGCTCTGGCTGCCTGAACATCTATGGTGCAATATCATTGGGGAAAGGCACAGAGGTACCCCACACTGGAAAGTGTCTGTTATTCTTAATACTGAATCTTAAGCACTCAAACAGTAAAAACATCTGTTCCTTTATATTGGTGTTTTTTTTGGCACTTTCTTCCACTTTTATAATATGTTTCTTAAGAGGAGGGGTGTTGTTGTAAATTTAAATCCCAAGCATGCCTTGGCCTTTCCTGTGTGCTCCTTGGGTGGGCTCAGATTTATGTTATGCCTTCTTCCCTTTTGTTACATACAGAATTGACCTGTCTGTACCCAACACTACTCCCAAAAAAAATCACACACGGGCCTCACTCCCGGGATGTTCGTGACTTCCAGAAAATACCACTAACAGATTTCCCCCCCCCACACATGATACAAGATGTTTCGGTAATATTTTATTGCAAAATGCAAATATTTAGGTTATAAATCATTTGTGGGTCAGACTTAGGCATGAGCAATGTCCTGTTTCTTTTAGATCAGAAATAAATGTATATTGCCTGGAAAACTGAAAGGGGACAGATTGTGAGGAGATTTGGATGGTTGAATACAGATTGCTGTGTAGTAAATAGTGCTATGGAGTTAAGGGTAATCAAATTAGACATTTCAAGAATGACAATGGATGTAATTTCTTCCATATAATGTTCTAGATTTTACTGCTCAATGGTTTGTGTATATCTACTTCAAATATGTGACAAATAAACATTTTTTTCTACTAGTCGTTTTCCTTGATTTTTTTTTTTTCTTTTTTTCCCCTCAGTTTTCTTCCAGGACAGCCCAATAACATTCCCAAACAAATTAGGTTTTCATGATTAAAACCAAATTATTTCCCACATGCTCAATGAAAAGAAATACTCACTATGCGTTTAACAAGCTGTATTCATTCTTTTTACTGCCCATGGTAACAAATGTACTTAATTTTTATGATGCTACTGGCCTACATTTCAGTACATTTTATATGTTCAAAGATACAGTAAAATACACCAGAAGTATATACAGTTGGCAAAAAGGCAAACCAGGTGTAGGGTATGCATGCATTGTTCATTTTGAATATCCCTTCCAACAAAACCGTCACTATTCCTTACACAACCGCAAGGTCGGCAGGTCAGTGATACCTCAGCAACAGCACCCAAGCATTTAGGAATGTATGTGTCCACGCTTAACTGTGAATGAACAGTCGTATCTAAATTCTTATAAACTTGGCAACCGATTAGTAATGTTACGAAGTGCATCACTTCGTGATGTGGGTGGCTTTGCCCAGACCAGGTTTCACAGTGCCTCAGCCATTACACGAAATCACTAAAAGATCGCAAGAACGACAGGAAAGTCGTCACGCAAACCTATTGTTTTGCAGTAAAACGAAATGCAACGTAAACCCCCGATTCGTGACTAAGGCGCCCCAATGGGACTAACGGGACACGAGCCGCCAGATTACGTAATCCCGGGGCAAGTCAGCTAGTTAGCTCCGTTAGCCTGGTTAGCTTGCTGGCTAGCGGCTCCGGGGACTCGCGGTAGGCGGCCGCGAGTTTAAGCGGCCCAGAGTGATGAAGCGCTTGGCGATATGGGACGCACACAAGCGGGGAAACACACTTCACATGTAAGAGTGCCTGGGTTACGGGCAGCCGAACCCCTGGGCCGCAAGCCGCCTCTCCAGGAGCCCACTCCTCTCTCCATGCTGCAGCCAACGCGCTTTAGCTGCGTGGCTAGCCAGTGACTCGGGGATCAAGTTATGATGTAAAATTGTTTCAATAATTTAAAATTAATAAAAATGTATTGTAAAAGTTTAATAAAAATAAAACTCCGGACCAAACTGTCGCCTCCGCCTTTGTCTCCTATTATCTCGCATGTTTTTCTTCGGAGTTCCTCCCCCTGCGGCGCTGGGCGGAGTTTCATACCGAACCAGACGCTCCTCTCGTCGGATACGTTTCGTCCTGACTCCCCGGGGTCTGTACCTGGAAAAAAGGCACTTTTTAAAAAACAAAAAAACCCCAAAACCACTAGCGCGACTTGCGTTTGCTTTCTTCTCTTCGCTTGTTTGCCACTGACAAGACAGGTGGGTGAATTACTGTTTGTTACGGATTTTCAAATAATATCTCCGAGCCGTTGAAACATTCATGGCGGCTCTACAGACCAGCTTTCGCGGTGAAGGAAAGCAGAGGCGTCCCGTTGTTTTTTTTTCCGTCCTATAGTCCGTTCTAGGTGTAAAAAAATACGAATTTAAATTATTTCGAACTGTAACAAAGTCTAAAATACCCACGACCCGAATCTATATGCATTTCTCCATATTTGTTGTTAAATATATATGTTTTACCAAAGTAACGACTGAACCATCCAGAGCTGGCTGCCTCCGCCGAAGCCCTTAACGTGCTTATTTCCATGTCAGCAAAAGGCAGATACGAAGACGCATTTCATGCAGATTCGGATTAGTTGAGGGTTTAGCTGCCGTGTCGTCGAAGCGGACATTCCTGCTGGGCTCCGTGCTGCCTGCCACCGGAACCGCGGTGCCATGGCGGTGGTTTCAGTCGGACGCCTGATCCGTCACACGCGGCGGGCGGGGGGCTGTGCTAACGACCTGACGGCACATTAAAGTGTAACGCCCGCCTCTGTGGCCTGTAACAATACGGCCTCGCCGGCGCTCCACTTATCCTCGTTATTATTTTTATTATTCTGAGTTTTACTTTGTGGTGATATGGTGTATTAATTCTTTTGAAATCGACTAGGTCTCTTTGTTTACCACTTGTGGCGTTTCTGTGGTCGGAAGGGGTGGAGAGTAGGTCACCCCCTCTTCATCCCGCCCTCCTCACAGTCACCCCTCCTCACGTTGACCTTGTCTGCAGGGTGGGGGCATTTTTTCCCCGGGAAACGCAGCTGTATTTTGCGCGCATTTGGCCGCGCGTCGGGGAGCGAGGTCATTCAAGTCTGCGCCTGGCAGGTACAAGGAAACGAGCGTAATAATGTCTCCAGAAAGACACTGTACAACAAAACTATCGAAGTTACTTTTTTGCTCTGCTTTATGCATACTTGAAGAGAAATGCCCCCCACCGTTATCAACTATATATATCGGCTTCCGCGATAACTTTTTAACCATTTAATTTTTTTACAATAATTTTAATGTTACACTTTTCTACCACACGCAAATAAAAATGACACGTCAATACGCCAATAGCGAGTATAAGCAGATGCGTTTATCCGAGGGGAGTTAACTCGTTTCCCTATTTTCCTTAACAGCATTCTATGGAAACCCGTTTCCGCCATCTGGAGTAGAAAAAACATTTATCTGACTTAAGTCGAAATTCTGATTTACTGAGTACAAATTCTGACTTTTTATCCCAGAATTCTGGCTTCTTAAATCGAAATTCTGACTTTTTTTAGCCAGTCAGGTAGTATCGCCGCCTGATATATCCCGAACACGCTTTATTCACATAATGTAATTGCTGGCGGGTTAATTTGGAGTTCGTCTTAGCTCGCTATATTTTGAAAGCAATAAAACAGGGTGGCTCTAGTACGGCCTTCGTTGCTTTGGTTTGAGTTATTCGGTTATTCTTGTAATGCCAGTGTTTGCCTAGGACTTCTAGTAGCTTGAAAGACAATTAACTGAAAGACACTTGATATTTTTTGCCAACTGAATTAGAACATATTTTGTGCAATGTCACGATTGTTAGGGTCTGTAGCAGCCAATAATGTAATATCTACCGTTAATAACTGCCAATAATGTAACTTTTTTCTTTCATTTTTGTGTAATACAACTTAATAATGTGATACGTTATTGATTCAGAATAGTTAGTACTATATTGGTAAGTTATTACCTTATCGGCCTTTATTACATTAAGAACGGGAAAATTATTACATTATTGGCAGTTATTGCACTAATGGTAGGTATTACGTTATTGGCTGCTACAGGGTCTTGTAGGTAAAGTAACACTGGTAAGTAAAATGATATGCTTGTTTGAAATCGCAGATTGAAACTTTCAGGGAAATGTGTCGTAAATTACTTCTCAGGGGGCCCAGCAAGGCGAGGAGAAGCTGCCGGTTCCTGCACCATGAACGGAAGCGGTAGCCAGGCATCTCGGCTGAAGAGTGAGTCAGGTACGGTAAGGGGCTCTCTCAGGTCCCCGACAACCCCCCCCACCCCCGGATTATTAAGTACAGCTAAGGCCACTTAAAATTAATAAATTGTTTTACATGACTCAAACTTCTAAAATATTGGTGAGTAGGGGATTTTATATTTTATATTTTATATTTTTAGCGAAAAGACGATCGGCAACAGAGATATATTAAAACTAGAAAATTAAACTTTAATTTGTCAGTATCTCAACATTTTAAACTCTCAACAGTTCAAACAATTACAAGAAAAGAGAAACCTTCAAAACAAATGCCTAGTCTAAGTGTTTAATGGTCTTGCCACAGAATGGCCCAATAAAAGCGTCCTCCTGACAATAGCAAAACAACAGCACTTCCATTGTTTCAAACAATAGAAGTGCTGTTGTTTGACCTCAATGAGGGTCACTATTATTGGACCACCCTACAAGAGACTATACTTGCTCACAGTGCACAGGATATCAGGATTTGGCACATTGACGATCTCTGACAGTTTTTGAGGTGAAAAAAACGGGTTTTTTGAAAAATATAAAATATAAAAAAAATCGAGGCGGCACCAAAAACTTGAGGCGGGCGGCCATGTAAAACAATTTATTAATTTTAAGTGGCCTAAACACATGGTGTGAACCGAACTGTAGCAGACATATTGGACTGGTACTGCAAGTGAATTCCAGATGGTTTTTATTAGCATCGCTGGTACCGTAGTGCTTTACATGTCACTCTGACACCAACCCATGTTTTCCTAAGTTTGGTGGCACATGTGTTCCAAGGAGCACGGTGAAATTCTTATGCCACAGTTGCAAGGTAGGGGATTATAGGACAGCAGTGCAACGAGACGAAAGAGTGCCAAATAAAAAGTGACAGATGTTCCATAAATATGGCCAGGTCAACATTTAAATTCATGTGACATATTTTGGGTAAACACCTAGCGCCAGGGCCTATAAATCCAGTGACACCAACTTGCCAGCGTGTTAAACTTTGCCTTGTATGGGGGGGGGCTGGCAGTGTCGCTGGCCTAGGGCGCCATATTGGCCAGAACCGGCTCTGGGTAGCATAAGGATGCTTTTCTACCACACCAGGTACTGTACTTTTGATACTTCAATAAGTACCAAAAGTATGATACTTCAAGGTGTTGGTTTTCCACTGGTATAAAAACTGGTACCGGCACTGGATGACATAACAAGGCAAGGCAGAGTATTTTGTACTGAACTTGAAAAATGGCTGTAGTATATTGTAGGGCTGGATGATTATTAATATTAACTAAACATGTTATGCACATGCAGTTCATACATCGCTAGTCACCTATTTGGGCATTATAGTGCAGGGGGTTGAAGTTCCATAAAACATTTTTACTTTGGCATAGGAAAATGGAACTTGGCAATGTTTGCAATTTTAATGATTATTCAATTTCAAGATTTTTAAATATGTTTAAAAATCAATTTAATGTTTACTTCCTCTGTGTTTGCATGAGCACTGCATATGTTCTTCTAGACAATCATAATCACTCCCATTCTTGCTGTTTAAATCCCTCACAGATCTGTTTGTGAGAAATTTGTTTGCTAACTCCTTTTCAGCTTTATAAATACCCCACTATTTATTATAGTGCACACATTGTGATATATTTATACATCTTCTAATACCGTCCTGTCCTAGTGTATTATACAAAATACTTTTTCTTATCTCTTGTCATGCCATCCTGATCTTGTTGTATTTGTTCTTCCGACCAGATCGCCATTAAAGCTTTTGGATTTCTTCATTTGTCCACGCATCCATTATTACTACTTTTTTTTTTTTTTACTTTATCATTGTTTTCTGAGTTTATAGCCTTTTTTCAAGATTGCAGTTGTATTGTGTTTAGATGCAAGCTATTTGCATAACCAATCGACAAAGAAATCCCACCCCCGAAGTATCAAAATTCCAGTTCCAAGTACCAGAAAAGTACCCCAGCTGGTTAGTTTAGGTCCTGTTTTGGTACTGTTACTCGATTGGAAGTTAATGGAAAAGGGAAAGTTCCGAAAGTACAGTACCTGGTGCGGTGGAAAACTACTTATAGTTTTTGCTCAGCAAGACCTGAATTGACCCGGTAAAGACACTTGAGTCTATTATACAGCCAAATAGAATCAGAATACAGTAACCCCTTCATATTCACGCATTTGACATTTGCAGTTTCGATTATTCACAAATTGGCTTGAACAATTAAATAGGAATATTGCAGACGACACAAGTTATAACAAAATTGAAAATGATTCTGATCACATAAAATCATGTCATATAAATATTACTGATGAATAATATTTTAGTGTAAGTGTGTAATATATTGAATGTTGCAATTCTTGGCTTGAGTACGCCATGCAACTAGCCTCACTCTCAATAGCTGTCTTTGTGACCAAGGAATCTTGTTGCTTGCAAAAACTTGAAAACTTTTCAGTGCCGTTAATTTTGCATTTTTAATAATCGGTCCAAAACGTTAGGCTCACACTGTGTACAGTGGTAACATACAGGGGCATAATTTAGATGGTTTGTATATTATGCAAAAACGTCTAGACTATAAATGACAAAGCAGTTTGGCTACTGTTTGTTTAGAAACTGGTAATAGACTTTTTATGTTCTCGTTCAAGCTAGCAGACTGTTATGGGTTAAGGTTAGGGGTGTCCAAGTATTAGCTGCAAATTTTCACATTCGCGGGGATCTCTTGCCCTTAACCCTTGGAGTGAAGGGGTTACTGTACTTTGATTGTCCTGGAGGATAATAAAGGACTGCACAGTACACTGATACACAAATGATAAAAACAGACAATACACAGTGCTACACAGAACAACTTCTATGTAAAAATAAATCAGTAAACGTATGAAGATAAATGCGTGATCATGAAAATAAATACAATAATGTGGTGAAAATCTACAGATTTGCTGGTAATTATTGAACAAAAAGATAGATTAATAGGTATTTATAGAAATAAGTAGTATATCTCATGTGCATGGAGTGACTTACCAGTTGTACAATCTGCTGACCATTAGAAGGAATGATTTCCTGAGATGCTCAGTGGAGCATTTTATGTTGAAGAATCTATGATTAAATGTGCTTTTCTGTGCAACCAAAATGGGATATACAGCGTGTGGAAGTGTTGTCGTTATTCACCAGGGTTAGGGGTGTGTTCCTGTGTGGGGCCATGCCCTGATGGCACCATTTGTGTGTGTGCGTGTGTGTAAGCCAGACAGGGATGAATGGAGCAAGGAGGACTGCCTGACGCTGCTGGAGAGGATCCGCAGCCTGCTGCCCGAAGGGGACGCCATGAAGTACAAGACCACAGAGTCACACTTCGACTGGGAGAAGGTGGGCTTCAGCAGCTTCACTGGGGACATGTGCAAGCAGAAGTGGCAGAAGGTCTCTACTGAGGTGAGCATCAGAGATCTCCCTGCAGTTAGTCTGATATAGGGTTTTATTATCCCAGGTCCTGGACCCATACATGGATCAGATATTCCAGCAAACTGCTCAGTCATTTTGGCCAATATGGACAGTCCATATAGAAATAAATTATTTCTTTGTGGGGAAAGCTGTGTGCTGGCTTTTCATTCCCACTGAAGGCTTCATTTAAGTTCGCCTGAATGCAGTGATGTGGTTGGTGGCCGCATGTAGGACGGGTCTGTGTATGTGTTTGTGATGTCCTGATAGCCCAGCCAGGGTGTCCAAAGGTTCGAGATACAGTTAGAATTGCTCTAAATGTATAATCTGTGATAACGTCCCTGCATCATTATTAAAAATCTCATATATATTTGTCGTTCATTCAGTTAAATGAAGACATTTTGTTGACTGATTTGCTGATGATGTTTTTAGTAATTATTTTAAAAATCATGAATCTTTTTATTACTAAAACATACCTTAAATCAGAACTGTTAAAGGTTTAAAGTTAAAGCCCTATTTCAGAACTGTTCAGTTAATCTTAATTAAAAAATTCAGCTCAGGGTTCCTAGGAGTCCAAGTCCAAACCATTTTCTCAATCTGCTTACAAAATCCTGAGGTGTTTTATGGTGGTGGCATTTTAATTTAATTGAGTTGTAGACTTGTGACAGTCACTTATTAAGCATATCAAACCAGCGTGGCTGACATGGAAATAATATCAGATGATTCAATGCTGTTGTTACTATATGGTACTTCTGTGTAAGCATATATTTAGGGTTTTCAGTGATCTGGAAAACCACTTGTTATAGTTTAATGAACAATGAAATTAAAAAACCCAGAAAGGTCAGCAGTGATGGATGAAGTCCATCGATTTATTTGAACTGAATTACATTTTAACTTTATGAACGTTTCATTTGAATGTTGTCATGATGATTAAATGGATGAATTCCAAACACATTAAATCTAAATCTTACTCTAGGCTACTTACAGTAGCTGAATATATAGGTGAATGTTATATTTACACTACAAGCTCTAGTGGCATCAGCATATCATTGGTTCTGTTTTCTGTCCTAATCGGAGCAATTCCTATGAGCTGTAGAGTGCCGAGACACAACCAGAAGGAGGAGAGGGTGTCTTGCTGATATATTTCTGTCAATGAAAAGAAATTAAATGAACACTTTGGCCACACCCATTCTGATGGCTTGGTGTTATTTGCTGCCTGCTCAGGTGCGGAAGTACAGGACCATGACAGAACTCATCATTGATGCCATTGAGTATGTGAAAAACCCCTACAAGGGCAAGAAACTGAAGGTACTGCACCCTTTCAGTCTTTATTGAATATTATTGGAAGGTTAGTATTCTGCTGAAAAAATCATTAGAAACCATTAGGAAAATATCTGAGGGTTACCACAAAATGATTCCATTACATTTACATTCATTTACATATTTAGCAGGTGCCTTTGCCCAAATCGAAGGACAAGTGAGGTAAATGGTCCCCTAGGCGTAAGTGCAGCTAGGCTGAGCTTACAATCAGTGTCCAGGCAGAAGACATCTGTACAACCACACATATAACTATTAACAAGCTAATAAAACTTTTCAAGGACCTGTAATAGCAACATAAGAGCGTTCATCTGTTCCCTCTCAGACGCATCCAGACTTTCCCAAGAAGCCTCTGACGCCATACTTCCGCTTCTTCATGGAGAAGCGGGCCAAGTATGCCAAGATCCATCCCGAAATGAGCAACTTGGACCTTACCAAGATCCTCTCCAAAAAGTACAAGGAGCTAAATGAGAAGAAGAAGGTGCGCTCCCTTGCTGTTCAGTTCCTGTAGTGATGCTGTTATTGATGTTACTAAAAGAATCAAACTAACATTCTGACAGAAGAGGCTTCTTTTATCCATTTTTGTTTCCCATCTTTATTATTAAAGTCTTAAAGCATTAATAGACATTTAACATTAGAGCAGGGAAGCACTTAATTTCAGAGGTTTAGACTGGAAAATATGTTGTGAATTGAAACCCATTTTGCCCTGTGGGTCTGGATTTTGGGTCATTCTCATCTCTCCTGTGTCTGTCTGCATTCCTAGCTGAAGTACATCCAGGAGTTCCAGCGTGAGAAAGAATCGTTTGAGAAAAACATGGCACGTTTCAAGTAAGGATTTTGGCTTATTTGCATGAAAAACAAAATGTGTATCTACTGAATAGGACTGGCATCAGTACTGGAAGAGCACTATAGCAGCAAAGGTCTCAGGTCTGTTGCCTCTAACGAAGGCTTGAGGGAAATAAATCGATTTTGTCATCCCCTTGACAGAGAGGAGCACCCAGAGCTGATTGAGGAGAGGAAGAAATCCGACCTCCCAGAGAAGCCCAAAACCCCCCAGCAGCTCTGGTATAATCATGAGAAGAAAGCATATATGAAGCTGCACCCAGATGTAAGTGGTTGGAATGTGCATAGAGATATTCTGTGGAGGGTTGCCCTGCATGTCTTGTAATTTTATCCTGGGCTTCATGTTTGGCACTAGACCATAAGCAATTCTGGTATGTTTGCACATACTGGCAATAAAGTGAGTTCTGGTTCTGGTAACAGCTGTGCAGGAGGCATTTATTATAGCCCTTTCATTGTCTTCTGGAGTTTTTCTGCTACCTACAAGACCCAAACTATACCTGAGCCATACCACGAACTGATGGCTTTCCATTGTAAATCATGCGAACTGTACCTGAGCCGTATCTCTGTTGACATGCCCGAAAGCATGGCCAACACGAGCTGGTTGTGTCACCACCATCTGATTGGTCAAAATTCACGGAGATACCGATGTTTATGTGAATTTGCATGGATTATCTGAAAGATGAAAAGGGCTTATTCTATTTATTATTCATTATTAATAGTATCGCATATCACGATGTGTTGTTGCATTTCCAAAAGCTCGGAACTTGAAAATTTCCAACCGCCTCCTTAAAATGCTATAGAACAGCTGAACGGAACGGATTCCTAATGCAAATTTATGCAAGTGAATGCTAATCCAGCTAGCGTTTGATTCTAAAACAAGGTGCCGGTTCTCACACACTTGCTGGTGGAAATTAGGACATAGTAAATCATGATGTACATCGTGTGAAGAGTAAATAAGCATCTCTTCGGCAACGTCTTCAATGATCCGACCTTTCTGCAGTGGCAAACTGAAGCGAGCTGGAACCGTGCTGTAACTATTTCTGTTCGTGGTATGACTCGGTTCCTGTATGCCGGGGAGAAGCCCCCCTTAGGCTACTATTGCTATTTTTGAAGGTTTTTATATTATCATTGTAAACTGGTGTTTTACTATTAAATTAAGGGATTGTTTGGAATTAAAGCTTTGGTTTGTGCAGAGTGTAACTACTAAGTACTCAGACCTTAACGGCTTGACTCGTCTTGGAGAGGTAGACGGGGTAGCTCAGTGCTTTCCCATTCTGTCTCTCATGCACAGGTGAGCCAGAAAGAGCTGAAGGAAGCTCTGCGCCGGCAGTGGTCGCAGCTGTCAGACAAGAAGCGCCTGAAGTGGATCAGCAAGGCATTGGAGCTGCAGAAGGTCTATGAGGTGAGGGGCTCTGGGGGAAAGGGCATGTCCCTGGTCCCGGTCCATACAGAAGGCGCCCGTCTGTCATCACTGGCTTCACACGGTGTGTAATCTGCCCCCTGCAGGATAGCATGAGGGCATACAATGAGGCCCACCCGGACTCCATAGCAGACGAGCACATCAAGTCCGTCCTGACCAAAGCCGAGCGACAGCTTAAGGACAAGTTCGACGGCCGACCCACCAAACCCCCTCCGTGAGTAGCTCCGGAATTTTCTTTCAGTTGGCGGCAGGTGGGGGAAAAAATGGGGGTTTCCTCTCATCACTGATTCCCCCCCAGGAATGGATATTCACTGTACTGTGCGGAGTTGATGGTGAACATGAAGGATGTACCCAGCACAGAGCGTATGGTCCTGTGCAGCAAGCAGTGGAAGATGATGACGCAGAAGGAGAAGGACATGTTTCAAAAACGCTGCGAGCAAGTGAGCTGCTCCTGCCAGCGCTGCCTAATGAATGAGAAGGCTAGCATTAGTGTGCTGGCTTTCTACACTAATGTATCATGCACAGCTAAAACTACTGTGCATCAATACATACAGCTCTGGAAAAAATGTAGACCACTCCATGTTTTTAAAAATTTAGCATTTTTAAATCCTGGTTTAATCCTGGTTCTGCTGGAGGAAGGTTATACTGCGAGGCAGCATGCTTCCAGGCTCAAGGCTTCTAAGACAGCCGTAATAACCAAAAAAAAACAGCAAGGTAGAGGGTAGAAGCAACTTTCTATTTACAGCGATGACCATCAGCTTATCCAACAATGTCTCGTGAATCGAGGATGACTTCAAATGACCTTCAAAAAGAATGGGGAATATTAGGTGGCGTGAAATGCACTGCTAGGACAATTCATAACTGGCTTCTAGAAGCAGGACTGAAGACACATAAAGCAAGGAAGAAGCCCTTTATCAGTGAGAAGCAGGGACGAGCCAGGCTGGAGTTTTCAAAAAAATGTATATTTTACACAGGCGGATACCCATAAATTGAGAAATGAGTGAAACTGAAAATTTTGCTATGGACTCTTACTTTTTTCCAGAGCTGTATTGTTGAATTCTAGATTCTGATTGGTCAGAGGCATGTTTAATTTTCTATTACCACACATACTTCCAGCCAGGTGAATTTCACTAATAAATCGATGCACAATTATAATCTTTAATTTTAACTAACATTTTTCTAAATTCCAGACAAAGAACTCAATTTAATATTGAGAGACAAAACAGAAATCTTTAATCATTGGCGAGAAAAAAAAAATGCATTTTTTCGCTTGCTGCATGTTGGGTGATTCTTCGCCTCCACAGCTGTGCATTTAAAAATGTATAATGCACTGTTCAATTCTAACTAACAAACATTACTCAGCAGAAACTGTACAAGCAAAAAACAACAGTGCTTCAGGCAGAAGACCTGTGGTTACTGATTAAATAACAAAATGATTTACTAATGTAATGCACTTGTAATCCAGTGCAGGACTGTCTAACTTGCCTAAACAAGATGGTTCCCAAGTCTACCGTTTACTGATTATTAAAAATAAATAGGTTTTACCCATAATGCAGTTGAATACCAGGAGGTGCATAAAGCTAAATTAATAATTGGTAAAAAATGTGCAATGCATGGCTTGGAGTGTATCATCTTATATCATGATTGCTGCACATTTTACTTGCACCTTTATACAGAAAGACTGGCCTTTGGGCTTCGCAGCAGGAAATTTTGAACTAACGACTGACTAATGATCTTAGCAACAGACTATTTTTAAATTAAAGATGGTGGTTTGGGTTGTATATAACCAAGATGTTTATTAGTAGTAGGCTTGAACGATATGTAATTTCTAATACTGTCTGGACTTGACACCATAGCATGTATTTTGACTATATTTTATAAAGCACCACTATTCTAGTATTTTGAAATATTGTCAATAAAATTTGCTGGGCAGTGGGGTCTCCCAAAATACTATTTGCCTGAAAGGAAATAACACTTAAGCCTAAATGGTAGTTCTACTAAAAAATTAGTTCTTAAAGTGAAGTATAATGTCTTGACGTGTAAAAATGTAAGCCAAACGTGTGGTTACGGTGGTATAAGCAGGGTAATGCACCCCAAACTATGCATCATTCATTTTTAAATGCACTCTTCTTTGTGTTGGACAGTTCTTCATCTCCACAGCTGTGAAAACTGTATAATGCACAGCTTGGAGTGCATTTACACTTAACTTTATATTAGTTAAGTATCACAGATGAACTTGGGGAATTCAGATTGTTTCCATGTTATGAATCGATTATATTTATGTAATTATAGCTCTAGAAAAAATTAAGACCACGGCACAGTTTTTTGTTTCACTCATTTCTCCATTTATGGGTGGGCGCCTATGAGTATAATATATTTTTTGCAGACTGCAAACTAGTTCTTCTCTGCTTTTCATTGAAGTGCTTCCTCTTGCTTTATGGGAGCTCAGTTCTGCTTCTAGGAGCCTGATACAAACCGTCCTAGCAGTGCACTTCACACCTGCACTTAATGTTTCCCATTCCTTTTGAAGGTCACTTGCTGTCATCCTTATGATTCAATGAGAAACTGTCAGATAAATTAACGGTCATCTCTGACATTAGGAAGTTGCTTCTGCCTTTTACCTGGCTGGTTTATGGTCGTTCCCAGTGTCTCCTTTGTTGCATTGTTCTTATGTACGGCGTCTGCCTGGAAGCAGCCTGCCTTGCAGTGTAGCCTTCTGCCAGCAGAACCAGGATTAAAGCATGATTTAAGAATACAGGTTCTTAAAAAAATATATATAGTGGTCTCTTCATTTTTACCAGAGCAATAATAATATATTCTTCAGTATTCATTTTGTAAAGGACCTTTTCCTCCTTCTCTTACAGAAAAAGAAGCAGTATGATATAGACCTCCAAAGGTTCCTTGAGGTGAGAATTTAGCCAGGTCCCTGTTTGCCCCCTGGGCAAAAGCGCATGTTATATATCTGCACAAACTGAGTAGCATGTCTCAGGGCTGACTGCTCATAGGCATGTTGCATTTCCAGAGCATTCCAGATGAAGAGAGAGAGCGGGTCCTAGGAGAGGAGAAGCTGGCTGGGACGCGTCTGGGCATTGGGAGCGCTGGCAGCACTGGGGGTGCAGGGAGCCCTCTCCGTGCCAAGTCGCCCATGGGCAGGGTAAAGACAGACATGCATGCCGTGATCGATCCAGCAGCCTAACCGATATGTGACCTGCTATGCTAGCTTGCCAGTTGGTTAGAACGCGACGGTTCCATTCTAGGAGCGCTCTGACATGGATCCGTGGGTGCTCGGCCTGGTCAAGGACAAGCGTGACGGCAGGAAGCGGCCGAGGCTGCCGGACACGCCCAAAACGGCCGAGGAGATGTGGCAGCAGAGCGTCATTGGGGACTACCTGGCCAAGTACAGGGTGAGAGTGGCAGAAGTCTGTGGGGATCTCAGTGTTTGGCAGGCTGGGTACAGAAACAAGGAAAGTAACAATGTAAAGGGAAGCGGCGGTCAAGCAAAGTGCTGTTAAAAAGGTACACTGAAATAACTAAAAATAAATGGAAGCATTGCACCAAACAAATGTCAGTTCCTGCACATGCCTGCAGAGTAGCATGCTTTAGTGGTCTTTCCACTTGTGCCGACGTCATTTATCTCACCATCTATTGTGTTATATCAAATACCCAACGTCATTAGTGAGTGTGCGTATAAAGGGATTAAAGTAAGTGTCAGTAATGTTACAATTCTGTTTTGTTTAAGAGTAACATTCAACTATCCGGCATTGCCTCTGTCACATTGTTGCCAGATACGAGATCTTTGACTGTATGTGCTTATAGCTTCCATTAAATGATAACCATTGGGATAGTTAGTTTTTTCCTCTGTATTCTCCTTGTTTTAACAACCAAATTATATAATATATTGAATTGCTCATCCCCTGCCTCAGAATGATCGGAAAAAAGCACAGAGCGCCATGCAGTCGGCGTGGAAATCCATGGAGAAAAAGGAGAAGATCCCTTGGATCAAGAAGGCAGCCGAGGACCAGAAGCGATACGAGGTTCAGTACAGCAGAGTGGTCAGTGACTGGGTGTTTTGACTCCTGTCTTACACAGTCCACAGGAGGAATGTCAAAATGCTGGTCATGTTGTGGCTGAGAATGGGCCTGTCTTAGTGCTGTGTGTTTGTTTCTTTGTATGTGTGCACGTGTGTCTGGATGTCTGTGTGTTTCAGATGGTAATATCTTTTACAGGTAAAGGTTGAAACATTAACAAACCAGCAGTTCTGAGAGTGGAAGATGCATCATGGAAGAATCTCTGCGATGAATCTGCTAAACACTAAATGCTTGTGCCACGTGGTTTTTGACACCATTATTTTGCCTTAACAGGTTAGTAGCCTCTAAAATGTTGACATCATACTGTCGCACCACAGAGGGAGCTACTGGAGACAAGGACGCCCCAGTCTGGCCAGGGCCAGAGGAAGCTGAAGTTTGATGGCGAGCCAAAGAAACCACCCGTGTGAGTGAAGGGCGACACCTTGTCATGACACGGATGTCTCTTGTTCTACCCATATAGCACTATCGCACCTCAGCCTGATTTCAGCTTCCTATTTCTTCTGACCCACAGAAGCGGCTACCAGATGTTTTCTCAGGAGCTGCTGACCAACGGGGAGCTGAACCACTTCAGCCTGAAGGAGCGCATGGTGGAGATTGGCAGGCGCTGGCACAAACTCAGCCAGGTCCAGAAGGACAAGTACAAAAAGATGGTGGAGGAGCAGCAGATCGAATACAAGGTCGAGCTGGACTCTTGGATCAAGGTAGGGGGCATTTCAGGTGGAGGCCAAGGGAAAGGGATGGGCACAGTGTGCTCTGCAGCAGGCAGGATTGGTGGTCTGCCATGCCTACAGCTGGCACTGAGAGTTTCCCGGAAAACCAGTAAAGCTTAATTCGTATATCACTTCTTTGCATGATGTTACAGTGCATGCGTCATAAATTTTATCATCGGGAGTGTCCATTTGGACCATGACCATTTGCGTACGTGGACAAATGTAGTATGTATGCAAAAGTCTGCGTGCTCGACCATGCATAGACCGTAATGACACATGGACAAGTATGACCTAGACTTAAGCGTGACAGCTTCATGCAGCTCCCCTGTCCTTGCTGACAGTCAGTCACACGCAGTGTGTACGTATGTGTCATGGCCTTCGTCACTCCATGACGGTTCAGCTCAGTCTGACGTGTGTGTGTGTGTGTGTGTGTGTGTCTTTGTGTGTGTCTGTATCTTTCTCTCCCTCCCCCTCTGCTCTTGCAGTCCCTCTCCCCTCAGGAGCGCGCCATGTACAAAGAGTACTCCAGCACGGTAAGAGCAGCCCCGTTAAACCCCTGCCATTCTCAGACCGGCACAGTCCAGGTGCAGCTCTTGGGGTGTAGCAGCGACTCTCACAGGGATCCTGTCCTGAACCCTTTATGTTAAGTCCAGTTGTTAGATTATCATATAAAAAGAAGATGCCATTTCAGTATAGAACAGGGGACCTAGATGTTAGATAGAGGCCCGGCCTCAACATGTCTGCTGGTCCTTGAGCAAGGCCCTTAACCCCCAGTTCCCTGGGCACCGCAACTGGTGGTTGCCCTTTATGGCTAGCTTGTTCATACCTTTGGAGAACAAGTTGGGGGATGTGTAAAAAGAGAATTCCCCCATGGGCATCAATAAAGTTTCTATTATTATTATTATTTAAATGTTTTCAATGCTTATGGTTTTTCTTTGCAATCCTAATTTGCATCTTTAAGCAGTTCTACCTTTGTTACAGTCATCAATATTCAGGTGAGGCTGAGGCTGGTTTGTAATCTGGGGCTGTATCACAGAAACTTAAGTTAAGATAGAAAGAGTGTAAGAGAGGATTTTTCCCATTTGGATATTACAGAAGCAAATTCTAACTAACTTTAGGAATCCTATCTTGTCTTACTTCATCCTGTCTCCAGTTAGAAAACCCTTAATACTACGTCCATCGGTTTCTCAACTTTTATTTGTCTGATTTTCTCATTTTGCAGAACTATTTTGTAAGCCAAAATAAAAAAAAGAGTATCCATACCTAAAGCACCATATGTGCTACATTGTATACCTACATAAATGCTCCAGGATTCTGTGTACCAATGCAATGACATGCTGTATTCCCACTAAGAAAGCTCAGGATTTCTGTATTTCTTAACATTTGCAAGGAATCAAGGATGTGACAGAAATTTCACAAGCTAATTGTTTTCACAAATACTGCAATGGGAAACGGCAAGTGCAGTTACCAAATATAAAAAAAAATCTGATAATTGTGGTAGAATGTTTCCTTAATTATGGTGAGTTCTCCTCTTGGAGCTCCGCTCATGACAGTACAATAAAGATAATATATACCATTAATATAGTATAGCAATATTACTAAGGAGAGTTTATTGAAGATTTTGGGAAGCTTGTGTATTGTACACTTTTCCTATCTTAAGTTAGAACAGAAGTATTAACTTAGGAAATGTTTATCTGTAATGGCTTTTTTCCTAAATCAGATCCTAACCCTAGTTACCATGGTTACCAAACAATTAAGATAGCATCTGGAAGTTTCTGTAATATGGCCCCTGGTCCCTGTCATGTGGTCCCAGAAATGTGGGCAATCGTTACCATATATTTTAGCTTCTGTGTAAGTTTTTGTAATAGACTGAAAGTTGTAGATGTATTTTGTGTGTCTGATCTCTAGAGAATCTTACTTAAATTCACAATGCGTGTAATGTACATTATGTCCCCAAGATGGGCACAACGTGTTCCAGGTATTACTTATTATTAAACAAGTAATTACTTTAGCCAAATCATATTAAAAATGGCTACGGAAAACATTTGACATTTTGTTTCTGAAGCAGCATGTATAGTTTTCAATTTGTTCTTTTTAATTTTTATATCATTTATTTTTATTTATGAAAATATATTCTTATAGTTTTACCTTTCATTAAGAACAATAACCCTGAGTCTTATAGCACATTCTGAATTGCTTGATTTTTCTAAAATGTATCTGCAAAGCTTCCCTTGCTCACTGTTACACTGTATGATTTTATTTAATAGCTGTGTTTTACTTAGTCGTGTCTATTCATTGTAGGGATTCCCATAGTTCTTTTATTTATACATGTATACATACACACACACACAGACGCTCCTCTGTTTACAATCTTTCAGCTTACGAACTTTCAGACATATGAACGAAGAGGATTGTAAGTCCAGATTGTGTTTGTTGGGCTCCCTTTTCCGTCCACAACATCAAATTTTGTTCTGCGTGCCAATTCCGCCTAGTACTAATTTTGGCCGCTACTTCCACCACACAGCAACGTAGTGCGTGTACTCCCAGCATCCCAGTTCTTTGTACTTGCGTATCAGTAAGACGTGCTCTCTTGAGATCAAAGTTTACTTCTTTTTTTATTGCAAAATATTCTGTGCATCCATTATCCATTTTTGGTGTTTTAGGATAAGAAAATGGATAGGATAATTGACTTTATATCATACTTACTTATGCATGTAGATTTGAGTACCCTTAAAATGATGTTGAATAACGACTGACGAACATTCCAAGTTACGAACATAGCCCGTTTGGAACATAACTCATTCGTAAGTAGAGGAACGTTTGTATATGTGTGTATGTATGTGTGTGTGTGTATACATACATGTAATATACATACATATATATAATTTCCCATAGTTTTCAGTTGTCCATGGACAAACGCAGGGGCAAGGTTTCAGGGGCACTGGGCGCAGCTGAAAACTGATCGATCCCTGGAGTGCCCCATCCCCTGTTATTCACCAAACATATCATTGGCTAATTATATGGTTGACCTCTGAGTCTCCTTATGCCCCTGCCTTAAAATCCTAGAATCACCCCTGCATTTATCAGATTCTGTCTTCAATCTTAGCTGTAGCAGAGGGCCAACTGAATACCACACGGCTTTAGCCAGTTTCTCTCTGACAGTGGTAGTTCTCTTTAATTCTCTGCCTCCCCCCACCACACCCTTCACCTTCAGAAACGACGCAGTACGGCCAAGGCGCAAGGCCCTGGGGCGAAGTTGCGGGTGACGAAGGGGAAGGCGGTAGGTGCCACAGCTGGAGGACTGGGGGCCGGGGGGGGCAGGCAAGCGATGGCGTACCGGGCCAAGGTAACGTTCACCCGCTCCGGGGAGCTTCATCAGTAGTGCATGGAGAGCAGGGCTGCAGGAGTAATGAGGGCCAGACTCTGGGTTGAATGTAGAGCCTCCTTTGTAACCTTCATGGCTATATGAATGGCTTCTGGGGAATTTGCATGTTGTACGTAATGTGAATAAGCAATATGATGTGGATGAGGGTGTTCCTACACAAGGAAGAGGATGTGACCTCGTCATTTCCAGCAGGATACATCGGACTCCGATGACGATGACAAGACCGATTCCTCAGACTCAGAAGACGAAGATGACGACGACGAATCTGGCAGCTCGGACAGTGACGACGAAGATGACGACGAGGTGAGTGTGGCACAGCATAGGGGTGGCCAGCCAGCTGCAGATTGAAAGTGAAATGTGTCAAAAAATACAAAAGTTTGTGACTCTGTGAGGAGATGAGCCCCCGTTCATTTCTTACCTGTACCTGATAAGACTTCTGTTTTTTGGGCGAACAGGACATAGATTTTTCCAGATCCTTAAACGTCTTAGAGTAGATTTCCAAAATTCAAGGTCTTAAATTGTCCGTAAAACCTGAGAACCTTTCTTCCATCTCAAACCTAATTGTTCCCAACCTTTTGATGTCCGTGGGCAGGTTTACCTCATACAGAAATTTCACAAATGAATGTATCGGACAGGTCTGGTTGGCTGGAGCATTCCCCATGGTGTGTACGAAAATGCAGGACAAATCTCATATTTTCATGGATCATGGTTTTTTATCCTTCAATATGTGACCATCCTATAATATAAGGGGCAGGGGACAACTCTACCCCCAATGGAATACTGACCATGGAACGGTGGGTTGTGAACCCCTACTCTAACCCTACTTCACATGCTTATTGTTGAACCACCAATGTTAAACAGGAGCACCGTACCAGTGGAATCTGATGTTGGGTTCTCAGCTGCTCCTCAGATCAGGTGTGATGATACTGCAGCAGCACAACCATTGTTCAACTGAGCTCAACTCCGAGGGTCAAAGTATTATTATACACTATATACAGACACTCCTCTACTTACGAACTTTGAACTTACGAACTTTCAGACATACGAATTAAGAGGACTGTAAGTCCAAATTGTGTTAATTGGGCTCCCGTTTCCAGTCCGCAACATAATTTTTTTTTTCTGCGCGCCAATTCAGCCTAGTACGACTTCTGCCCGCTGCTCCTGCCTCGCAGCAGCGTAGCGTGCATACTCCCAGCATCCTAGTTCTTTGTACTTGCACATACCCATAAAATGATGTTGAATAACGACTTAGGAGCATTTCAAGTTGCAAACAGCCGTTTGGAACATATCTCGTTCGTAAGTAGAGGAGCGTCTGTATATTGTGTGTGTGTGTGTGTGTGTGTGTGTTTGTGTGTATGACCTCAACACTATACTAATGGCAATGGTAATATTTACATTTGTCATAAGAAAGGCCAAGCAATTCTAAACTGCTTTCTGATTAAATTAATATTTTTGATGCTTTTGTCTTGATTCTACTTTTGGCCCAAGTAACACCCCTACGACATAAACCACCTGGAATTCTCATAGACTCTCACTGCTGTTCAAAGGGGCATGTTGAATTTAGTGGACAGACTGAAATTGACCAGTACAGGGCCCCGTCAAGTATTTATCATTTTTGAAAAACGCTAAAGATTGAAGGAAATGAGGGAAAGTCCCCAAAAGCTGAAGTCGTCCTTGAGGTTTTATTTCTTTGTTGTGGAGGTCTGAGTAGGTATTAAAAGCTTTGAATTTGATTTTTATCACCGTGCAGCTACAGCCCTGTTATGGCCTTTCCGCAGGACGATAGCCATGCACTTTTCCATTGTGTTTCCCTTGTACTGACCAAGAAATGGCTGTCTTTTTATTTTGGTGTTCTTGTTCTTCTGCACATTTTTGTTAAACCTGCCTCTGCTTCTCCGCCAAAATAAATATAAAAATTTTTTTTCTTTGCATCCCAGAGACAGACCCCTGTTCACCCACCCACCTGAAACCAGATGTGCATTCTACATTTTTTCCCAAACCTCATTATCGTGCTATCAAAAAGACTCCTGCCTAACTGCCAGCTCTTATCTTCCCAGAACGAAGAAGACGATGAGGAGGACGACGACGATGATGACCAGTCAGATGCCACCAGCAGCTCATCCACAGAGGAGTCCAGTGACACAGACACAGACTAGCTATGTTTGTTTCGGGGCAAGGGCTGTGCAGGACACACCCCCTGCCCGTAAGCCCCACCCATCTCGGTGATGTCTTTAGGATTGGCAGAGAGGCGTCTTCGCTTGGCACGCTCCCCTCAAACCCTGAACAAAGAGGGGTCACAGACTGAGAATTGGGGTCATCAGCACCTTCACCCAGACTACACCAGACTTAATCTCAACTGGACAAATTCTCTTTTAAAGGAGCTGTGTTACATGTGTGTTATTTTTATTGCCTTCCAATAGGTGTTATTAAAAACCTTGTTTCCTGCTTTGTTCTTTTTAAAGAAAATTGACTAATTTTGCAGTTTTTCTTCCTGGGTGCAGTACTCATTTCAGTTTGTGCCAAGGGGCTCCCAAGAACAGAGCAGGCTAGATGCATTAATTCCAGACCTGCTTGTTCCATGAAGAGAAAGGACTTGTTCTTAGTAAAGCCTCCCCTGACACATGGCTACATTTCAGGTAAAATCTCAATGAAATGCACTTTTTTCTCTTCTTCTTTGGCATGCGATAAAGGCTATGGCCATGTATCTCATGCAGATGTTGGGGAATCAGTTCATATATTAAGCCAGAGGTATTTTCTACAGTGTTTTGTTACTGAAAATGAGTCTCTGCTCAGTTCATTCGTCCTTTTATATCACAGGTGACCATTTTATCAACTTCAATTGCATTTAGACAGTGTGACCTAAACATTCATGTGTGATACACAAGAATAAATGATGTCATTAAAACGTGCTGTCATCCTGTTTATTTTTGGTTTCAAAGTCTCCAAACTTTGCTAAAAATTCAGTTTTTATGTGTATCAAATTTGAAAATGAGGTTCAGAAAATGTTGGTGACTGAAAATGAGATGTTCAGTTTTTATTTTGCCCTTTCCCTTCACATCGGTATGCACTTTGAAGAAGTGATTTTGTCTATAGATTAGTTAACATTTTTATTGTTAATTAGTCTTGAGCCTTCTCAGTTAGCAGCTATACCAGAGTTAGAAGCCTAAATTGAACTAGTTTCCAGATGGATTTGGCTGAATGACAAATTACCCCAGTTGTGCACAGCTGCAGAGTTTGTGAGCTGGAACGGAATAAGTCTATAAAAATTTTTTAACTTTTTCACTTGAAAACCATGTAAACAAGAGTAATACTCATTTTCCCCACATCTGGTATTTGTACCACACAAGTTTGTTTAAGGAGATAACTTCATGGCTTAGTGGATGGCACTGTAAAATTTTGGGAGTTTGAATCCCACCTTGTGGTGGTACATTTTCTCCCCTTGTCTTGGGTTTCTCTAGTGCCTTTAAATTGGCCTGTAAGGGGCTGTCCCTTTATCCAGTGTGTACTCCTGTCTTGTGCCCTATGCTGCCTGGGATGGGCTCCAGGTCCCCTAATGACCGTGACCAGGATTAGCACTTGAAAGCTGGATGAGTGGAAGTTTGTTAAAACATTGCCAAGGCAAAATAAATAATATTCTTGTGAAAATAAAGTAGATGCATTCAGTAAATTTGATCACCCAGTCCCATTGAATCTGTGGTCGTCATGGTTAACTGTAATGACATTAGACTATAATAACCCTAGGAAAGGTCACATTGAGCTAAATAATACTTGGTAACATCAATTCACCCAAACCAAACCCCAACTGAAAGTTATGGCAAGGACAATGTGATCCTGCCCAGATTGGAGAGAAAGGGGGCCCCAGCCTCAAGCCAGACCTGAACAGGAGCTGGCAGGTGAGCCCCTGGTGGCCGCATCTCTACCCATGGTGCCCAGCCAGACATATCTCTATTGTGGTCCCACCCTCTGCGGTGGGGTGGGGGTCAGGTGTAGTGTAGATAGGGTGGCACTCGAAGGCAAATGCCGCGGACGACCAATCGGTGGCTACCAGATTTGGCTGTAGGAGGATGGGTGCAGCGTCAGCAGTAATGCGGAGGCTCTACCATTCTGACATAAAGAGAGAGCTGGGCTGGAAGGCAAAACTACTAATTTACCGGTTGGGTCTAAGAGATAGGGTGAGGAGCTCAGACAGTCGGGAGGAGCTCATAGTAGAGCTGCTGCCCTTCCACATCGAAAGGAACCAGTTGAGGTGGTTTCAGCATCTAACTAGGATGCGTCCCTAGAGAGGTGTTTTGGGCATGTCCAACCAGGAGGAGACCCCAGGGCAGACCCAGGACATGCTGGGGAGATTATATCTCTTGGCTGGTCTGGGAACGCCTTCTTATTCCCTTGGAAGAGCTGGAGGAGGTGGCTGGGGAGAGGAAAGTCTGAGCATCCCTGCTTAGAGTGCTGGCCCTGCCACCCAGGCCCCTGATATGCAGTGAAGAATGAATGAATGAGTTCTCCCAAACCCATGTAAACACAGAGAGAATGTGAAAGCATCACAAACAGGACCATACTAGACCATAAATCACCAACTCAGGAATTGTGAGGCCACAGTAATATCTACTAAACCAAAAGAGCAGATCAGAGGAAGTGTATTTATTAATCAGAACTTTGAAATATACTGCACTGAATTGAAGCTTGCATTATTTTACTCAAACATAACCTGAAACCTGTATTATGGTTGGTGATTTTTCACATAATGATTTTTTAAGAGTGCAGTCTGAATAGTGGGTATTTTGATTTTTTCCAATGCAGGTCAAAGGTGTTTACTAAAAATTATGCTATTTGCAATGACTGAAAAGGGTCAGGTTTCATTATCCAAAAGAATGTTCTTCTGCGTTCTTGAGCGTAACATGCTCATAAAAATCGGTTTGTTGAGGAATTTTTCCCTGGTCATAACATGAGCATAATTTCTTTGAGACCACTAGAGGGTGCAAGAAACAAGAAATATTCGCTGAATTCTTAGCTCACTATTGCGGAACCCTATGCAGCCCCACTCCGTGGCCACGATTTAACATCGTGGGAACAAATTAATAAAACACGTAACAGGATTTAATTAAAATGAGAAAATGAATTAGTAAAACGTACCCACATTTTAAGACAATAACATCTAACAAATAAGGCTGAACCTCTGGTACCAATTAATATTGATAGTGAACATTTTATGGATTTCTGTGTTGAAAAACTGTACTCCAACGTCTATGTCACCAGTCAAACTTGGAGTACCACAGGGACCAGTGCTTGGTCCTTTATTGTTTTCTCTCTACATGTTGCCATTAGGTAATATAACAAGAACATATGAGGTTAATTATCACTCCTATGCAGACGACACCCAAATACACATTTCAGTTTTGCCTAATGACACTGCATCCAAGGGTTATAGCCCTGAGCATTTTAGCCCTGATGCGAATCTTCCTTCAAAAAAAAAAAGTCAAGCCCCAGGTAAACTCAACTTAGCCCCAGATTTATTCAATAGCTAGAAACACCCCTGACTGCATCTATTGTCACTTTAGTGAATTGCTTTAATGAAGTACAGACCTGGATGAGTGAAAACTCAAACAGTTGTTTAGAAGCCAGTCCGCGGATAGGAATGCTATAATGTCTGCATACCACTCCAAGGGGCTTAACTTTTCTCTCATCAGCTCAGCCCGTAACCTAGGCATCGTCTTAAATACAAGCTTGTCATGTGAATGTAGTATTGAAGGTGTATTTCCTACAACTAAGTAACATTACCAAACTATGACAAGTCCTCACTATTCAAGACACTGAGAAATTGATACACACTTTTGTATACAGTAGGTTAGACTACTGTAAGGCTCTTTTATCTGGCAGCACACACTGCACATTCAACACCTTGCAGCGTATTCAAAATGCAGCAGCACGAATGGTCACCAGGAGCAGGAAGTTCGAACACATAACCTCTGTTCTTAGTTCCCTGTACTGGCTTCCTGTTAGGTTCAGGACTGACTTCCAAGTTCTACGTACATATAAGGCACTTAAAGGTCTAGCACCTGCCTACCTAACAGAATTACTTCAAGTTTACAAGTCACACCCTCCACACAGATCACAGAACGCAGGTATCCTTGTCAACCGCATATAAATAAAGTGAGAGTTGGGGCCCCTATTTTCAACCTGCACAAAGCGCGACGCAAAGTGTTTTTTCTAGTTTCGTACCAGCGCAATGCTCAATTTCACGCCATGGGCGCACGTTGTTAAAATAGCAAATGATTTTGCACCTGTTTTCCACTCACAGGAATGGTGTTTTTAAATGTCGCATGGCCGGGCGTATTGTCTGCGCGTTGCTGACAATACGAAATTAGGCAACTGAGTCTCATAATTAAGCACATACTGTAACTGAAAGGACATTTAGATTGCTCAAAATTCAGATGTTTAGATAAGTCAGGTGGAACATTACAATACAGCCATCAGAAGGTCGCAGTATTCTTTGTGGAATGTTGTATGTTGCGTACCATTGTTATGCATGATGGATGTCTGTTGAACATAAATGAAGACACATTAGAAGACTTTAGAAGGCGTGATGCCTTCTAAAATGCAAATGCCGTGCACGCTGGCAGCAGCACGGGCAAGAAGGGATTAGCTGGCAGAGCTGAATCATCTGTAGTCTAATAAGAAATCTAACTTGTCAGATGTAGTAAAATAACAGCCATATTGCATTTTATTTGAACATTTTATAACATTTCAAAAACTGTAAATTGTGTTTTTGTTTGAACAAAGATCGCAATTTAATTTATATTTTGCAAACTGCAGACCCAAAATGAAAATAAAAAAACACAAGCATATTTAAGTCCCCATTCCCAGCCGCTGCTGGGAGAGTCGAACGTTATTAATGTACTGCATTCTTGACCTTGATCAGTTTACACCTTGTTTTAAGCAAGCAAGTCCAGTCCTTCTTTTTCAATAATTAGCATGGGGTTGGTCTTGGACCCCCCTCCCCAGAGGATTTTTTTTCTCCTTACTTGGGAGTTTTTGAGTCTTATCCTCCATTGTCATCTGACTTTCCTTCTTTCATTTCATTGTCTTTCGTTTTCTGTTTTTGTATCATTTAGTCTTAATGTAGTGATGTATCACAACACACCCATGCAAAGTGCCTCACAGCGACACTGTTGTAAAAGTGTTTTATGAATTAATTCCCACAGTGTTTATATTAAAACATTGGCACGATTTACTATTTAGGTGCCTAGACATCTGCTGGATAGGACAGAAACAGCTTAATTGACTTGCCACCCGTCCCATATTTTATGACATCATCCTGTATTGAGAAATGAAATGCTGTGTCCCGTTTAGAACCAACATAGGATGTGGTTTGTTCCGTATGCATTATTTGACCCCCCCAGCCTCACCAAATTTTATTGTACCCCTAGCCCCTGACACATTTTATATTTTATCGTGAGGGAAGTCCCGTATTTCTTCAGACTGGAAGTGGCAACTCTAGGTTGGAATGAGTTTCCAACGCATTTTTAAAAGTCTTTCAAGGAATTGTTATGAGCAAGAGACACTTGCATAGAATATTGAGAGTCAGGATGTTTACCGAACTAATTTGTTCCCTTATTAAATCATGAGCACGTTTTATTAATTCGTTCCCTTATTATGTCCTGAGTATGACATTAACCTGCATCCGGCCTTGCAAGCGATCCTCCAACTTGCAGGGAAACAAATTTTTTGGCAATCCAGCCACCATAAAACAACTCACAGCTGCTCGATACAAACAAGCACAATACTCTTCTGCTCTCTGCTGGAGTAGCTCTGCTGCAGCTGCCCACAGGAAGGCTGCACGCACCATGAATGGGATGGGGGAAAGCCTTCGGGAGCCCCATCCCTGGACTAGTCAAAATTGTCGGAGAGCTA